TTTTTTAGTTTAGCTCCGACGTAATTGCTTTCTCAGAAACTACACCAATTACTGTAAATGCCTCTAGATGTTTTGGGGGTCTTTATATTTATTAGGTGACACCTTTTTACATTATTTGGCCCTCGCCTCCTCCTCCCCCCGTAGGTGGCTATTCCAGTGATTGTTGACCACTCAGACGACAGCCAGGTGTACAACCTCTTTTCACAAATTCGCACTGAGCAGAAGGGGCGTCTAGATCTCCTGGTGAACAACGCCTATGCGGCAGTCAGCTACCTCACCTCACACGCTGACATGAGCTATTGGGAGTTGGATGCGTCAGATGATGCCGGCGCCGCCGCCAAGGCCTGGGACATCGTGAACGGGGTGGGCCTGCGAAACCACTACATCTGCGCCACGCTGGCTACACGCATGATGCTGGAATATCGCGGCGAACTGACCACCACCACCAACGAGAGTGGTGACAGTGAGAAGGAAACTCAAAAGGCTCTCCAGCAGAGTGACGACAGTTCTCTTCAACGTCCAGGCCTCATCATCAACATATCATCTCTCGGCGGTCTGCGATATCTTTTCAATGTTGCCTATGGTGTTGGTAGGTCTGTTGATACTGCCTTGTGGCTTGTAATTATTGGTATCCTGAGTAGTCTAAAACCAATTATAATCGATGTTTAACTACTCGCGCCCATTATGGTGATATGTGGCCTGGTTGCGCACGTGTGAGAGAATTTTATTCAAGGTATGGAAAATATAATGGTTATGTGCATACAAGGAGACGCTGAATGTGTTCCCAGCTGTGTACGGATTAGTGAATTTCTCACTGCCCAAGTTATTGACAAAGTGGTCAGTCATTAAGTATCTTAATGTGTTAAAAATAATGTGAACAGTCATTCTTGGACATTATTGAAGCAAATAGGCAACTTAGGTACTTAAAAAGATGATGAGGAAGAAGATTCGATCGCTGGAACAACACTTATTCGCCTGGCGTTTCTTCATCAGAGACATGAGCAGAAAACAGTGGCAGAAACGGGTGATACATACACCTGAAATGACAGTATTTATCCGACACAGTCATAACTGCAAACCTATGACAGATAACGACAATTAGCGATAATGTGCGTGGATTTTTTGATGACCGGTATGCGGGCCGTGACCTGCTGAACTTGCATCATACGTGGTGGAATTGGAGGTGATGATTGCTCGGCCATCTGGTTCCTCAGTGTTGGCCTATAATGATCGTTTGTTGAACGGCATGCGGGCTTTGGCCTGCTGAACTTTAATCACGTGTGGTTGGCTCGGGCGTGATGATTGCTCGGCCATCTGGCCTCCAGTGTTGAAGTTAGACGACGCGGCGGCCCGTGGATTCCCAAAGTGGCGGCTTGTTTCGGCCAAATGTAGCCTCAGTATTGAACATGGATTGGGCTAGTCGTACTTGTATATTGAATAGAGGCCCGTGAACAATGACTCAAGCAACTCTCGGCTCACACTTTTATCCCCTTTCGCGAGAATTTCA